CTTTGTGGCGTTCGGAAGTGTCAAGTGATAACCGAAGCGAGCCACGAAGCCTAAACATGTGAAGCCAGCAAGTACCAGCCTCATAGCATGTAAGACAAAGAAGTACTAACTAAATCTTCGCGCAAGGTGCATTTCTTTGCGCGGCGTTTTAGTTAGTAGCCTGATTCCGCTCATCGAGAGCAGACATTAATCACTAATTTTAAAAGAGTGACCAAACGTACTGTCTTTTCTTTGTCCCTGTACAAGCCACATCAATCGGTCGGTTTTCACAGTATTTTTTTTAAATCTAGCGTAGCACGAAAATCTAACAATCACGGACACTTTCTAATGACAAATTAATCTTAATATTTAAGTACTATCAACAAATAATTAATTGAATTTCATTCAAAAATTGCATTTTTTCAGCTGTTGTACTAATTATTTTTGATAACCTCAAAAAAATTTTATCTCCTAATGATGGCTTAAACTGCCCTTCGGGAATCATTACGAAACTTAAAAAAATGAAAGTTTAGCGATATCCCCAGGATTAAATGAAAATCAGCAATTTGTATGAAAATAATGTATATGAAATGAACGATGAGTTAAACGAACTTAAAAATGATGATATTGATGCAAGTAATTCTGTGGACTCTGAGTTTTTCAAACCAGCTGTAAAGAATAAAAAGTTAATGTAATTAGACAAAAATTTATTTTATACAATCATTTCGTTACTTATTATCATTTATCTTTTTTTTCAAAGTAATTTTTTTTTAGTGATAGTATTGAAAGTGACAAAAAATAATTTTTGGAAAAATTTAAACTATAACATTTTAACATTTAAAAAAGTATGTAATTTAACCATGTTATTGTTTTTAAAAACCCATACTCTGAAAAAAAGTATTTTTAAATAGAGTGATTAATATTAGTGATACAGGCAAATTAAAACTTGCTTAATCGAGTTACAAATTACTGCTTACAAAAAATGATCACTTTAAAGTAAATGTGAACCTGTTCCGAAAGTTGTTTGTCTTGATATAGAATAAACTTACAAAAAGGGAGTATTAAACTAATCATACCTCTAATTTTCAGCGTTACGTTTTATTACTAATGAATGGTGAATTTATTCTAAGAAAATGTATCTTGACTTCTGGTAGAGCGTATGCTAGATCAACTTTTATTTATGTCTCTTTAATTACCAATTTCTTATATGGAAAAATTGCATTGGGTATTATTTTAAGCATTTAAAAATATTAATATTACAATTTCCACATCAGTATCACAAAAATGTGTCTCGACGAATAAAATAGCTCTACATTTCTTACTCTTGAATCTTACTGGTCTCAAATTATTAAAATTTTTATTACCAACAAGTGAAAAAAAGTTAAAATTTCTGTAGTGAAATTATAATATGTCGAAATCGATGTACAAAGAAATTTATTTATTATAATTTTTGTACATTACAATGTTAATTGAGCATAACTCCTGACCTCACCTCTAAAATAGAAGTAGATTTAGAATAACGTTCCTAATTAATGAATAGATAAAATTATTATATTAGATATGTAATACCGTTTTTGCACCTAGAAATAAAAAAGGCGCCGATGCAGCGTTGACAAATCTCTTTCACGTGCGTCACCTTTGTCCCTCGTACACCTTGGGTTTCTTCTTCAAAAAAAGGGAGATTAGCCAAGGAGTTCTCCTGTTCTACGGGGAGAATTAATAACTTAACACCAGCAACTATCTTAATGATTCCTTTATTCAATTACTAATACACTAATACACAGTATCTTCTTACACTATACACGATACAACGTTTTACATCGTCACCTGGACTGTGCTGCAGCGACTCTACCTGGCACCACGCGAGTCACGACCGCACGTCCGATACGTCCTACTCCTCCTGGGCTAGGAAGGGCTTCTGCTTGTCCTAGTTCCATGATAACATACACACACTTACACTCCTTCCAAAATCCCATACACTACTATATTCTACTGATTCTCTCTTTCTCTCTCTCTGTCTACTCTGTGTTGCTCGATCTTGCTCTCTTTACTCGCACACTCTCTGTGTCTTTCTCTACTCTACTCAAAGAAGCTACTCTCACTCACTCTCTCTCTCTCTCTCTCTCTCTCTCGTCATCAACTTAACTTTCAGTCCTCATCTCTCTCTTTCTCTCTCTATACTGTTCTATTTATTCTCACACACCTGGTGTAACGCGCGAACAATAGTGGCACTCCCTAGCATGCATCATGCGGTCTCTCGTACACATTGTCTAGTCTATCCACACACGACTTTTCTCTCTCACTCTCACTGTCTACGCTACTCTCTCTCACTCTTTACCTCTCTAGCCTCACCTCCTGGTCGAACGTCAGCAGATCCAATTCAGCACTATGTCGTCTGGAGTCCTCCAGCTGGTCGTTTGTCCTATGGATTCGCTCTTTCTATCTCTCTCTTACTTTCTTTTCCTTGTCTGAGCTGTTTCCATCGTCCTTGACCTGGAGACCTCGTCATCCTGGAAGAACACAGCAACTGCTAGACTCACGCACACTCTTATCTCGACACTCTACACCCCTTCTCGAAAACTTTCTCTTTCTTTCTCTCTCTTAAACCCTTCTTTCTTTTGCGAATTAACCCGCAACAACACCCCAAACTCTTGCTACTCGCACTGAGGTGCTCAGCTCAAAACTAACTCGTGATCTCTCGTTTGGGCCCTGATCGCTGCCGTGAGTATGCCAAACGGCTCTTTTTTCCTAAATAAAATATCTCAATAATAAAACATGGAATCATGATGTGATTTTTCATTCTGTAGCTAAGAGCTTGTAGATTATAGAAAAAATGGTCTAAACATTGGCTCTGGTAGCATAAAATTACGAAATTCTCCGAAACTAACTTAAAAATGCAACTTTTTTGCTAAAAGCTGCATAATTTTATATTCTTTTAATGAAATTCTATGAAAATAATTATACAAACTTATCAGATGATGCCTTACATGATTCTATACTTGAAACTTTAGAAAACAAAATATTGGATCCAACATGGCCGCCAAGTTATCAAAAACATTAAATTTTTTAATTATAAAAAACACCACCGCATTTTGCACTTAATTCTAAGTAAAAATTATATTTTGGTAAATTTTGATAAAAATTATTGTTTTCGAAAAAAAGTTATAAATACATCATTACTCTTTTCAACTTTAAAAAATGTCTTATTTTTACGTATCTAAGTAAAAAGTGTATTCTGTAAAATTTTGATGAAAATTATTGTTTTCGAGAAAAACCTATGAATAAATTATTTTTTTTTTTTATGTTGAAAAAAATGTACCTTTTTCACTCATAAAAGAGAAATTTATCGTACTCATACAGTTTCTATAGACTTTATACCTTTGTGGGCTATTAATTACGAACGTACAGTTGGATCTTTAGAAATTTAAAATAGCGATTCCAATATCGTGGCCAATTTTTATAAAAGATGTATTTTAAATTTAAAAAATACGATTTCATTGGACACAAAATTTTAAGCGAAAAATGTGTCTTGCATAATTTTAATGAAAACTATTGTTTTTCAGAAAAAATTATGAATACATACACGTTCTTTCACATCGTACAATATCATATTTTTTCTACCCACAGTGAAAAAGAGTGCCATACGAATGAGGTTTATACATACATTTTGTTCATACCCCTTTTGATCTGTAACATAGGTATTAGTAACAATTTCGAGAAATGAGGTCTTTGCGCAAAAATTTGTATTGTTCTGCTGAATAACCAGATTCCTAATAAAGCAGTTTCCTCTGTGTGTATGCATTAATGAACATTTCCTTAAATCTGTGAATTTTTTCTCTCTTTTGTTTAACACAACTAAACTGATATTTGTAATGTGTCTTAAGTCCGTCTTAAGTCCGTCTTACAAAATTTTTGTGAGTCTACCTTGTTTAGTGCTATTAAGCCTTTTCAGTTTTTTGGCCTACCTTTAGTACTACTTGGTCTACCTTTTATTTTACGTGGAGATCTCGGCATACTGGAAAAACAGCAAAACAAGATTATTCAATCAGAAGACGGCAAAAATTCTGATGATTGTATGAAACGAAGCCCTTTTTTACAAAATACAAAATTAAAATATACTTACAGTAGACAGCGATTATAAAAATCAATAATTTTTGTGAATATATTCTGGTTGTATAAAGCTTGTGAACATGTACAATAAACATAATACATGTAAGCGTTTGATTATCAACGTTCACTTGTATAGCCAGCTTACTTAAGAGTAGCGTGGTGTCAGTTAAGGTACATGATTGGTACGTAAGAATTTTTTTTTTGTAATGAAGATAGTATAATAAAGTTTGAATTAGTACTATTTAATACAAATAGTTTTTCAGTTTAGTCCTATTTCTTTTTCAATAATCGAATAATACTAACTTTTAAGATATTTGTTTCGTTAAAACCTTAGATTGTAGGTAATAAAATATTTTCAAGTTAGAAAAACAGTTTGCATATTAATAATTTTTTCACAAAACAACAATTGTAATTAATATTATACAAGACACATTTTTCACTTGAGCCATACAATCTCCCACTTATGGTTTGTATTATCTGTGATGTCTGGCTTATATCTTTATTTCAATGTGTTGTTTTGAGGAAGTCCAAAGTTTCATTGTGTATCTAATCGTAAGAAATATTGTACGCCCGAAAACCCCCGAATGATACATACAGTACAGTTGCAGTTTTTTCGGTTAGTTTAATTTACAAAGTCTTTTTAACAGCTTCTAAATACTCAAGAAGGGTATACGTTTAGTAATAATTTGCAAAACTTTAATACAGTGGTTTTTATAACTTAAACGTTTCAATACTTGTCTCCAAAAAATCAATTTATCACAAAAACTGAGCTTTCTGCAAGACTAGAATTAGTATTCTGCTTAACTAGTATTAAAGAGCTTTATTAATATTTACTTTTTATTTGAATATCTTACTTACAATGCAATACCTCTCATAAGTTGCGTTATTCTACCTTTTGTTTTAATGTTCAGTTTCTGACACGCCTACATCTGATGGATTATTCTTTACTTCTTGGGGTACATAACTGCGCCCAAGCAGAATTAGAAAATAAGGAGCGCGCGGAAAAAGAGGAAGAAGATGATAATCATGATGACGAAGAAGATAGTGAGTCTGGTAGTGGATTAGAGTGCCGTGGTCCATTAGGAGAGTAAGTAAAATTGAAGCAAATAATAAATCTTAAGTAATCTAAGACTAAAAATGCATGTTCCATATGTTAATAAAAGTATAGGGTTTTCTAAATAGTTTTTATGTACAAATGATATCATGTGTAAATAATATTATAATAATCTAGTTTTATATCAGAAGGTAACTTATGACATAAAAAAGTAATCATAACGATGCTTACAGAAGTTCTTGTAAAAGTAATGGATAGAGGACTTATTGTGTTTGTAATCAAATATTTTTTTAAGTACACAATTAAGAAAAATGTTGAAAAAAGTATTGATTGTCAGCTTTGTACAATACCTAGCCATCTTAGGAATAAAAAATTAAAGCAGCTTTTGTGTTAGCAAAACAAACAAACAAATTTTTTAGCAACACTAGGAGAAAGCAGTCATCTTAGTGACAAATATAAAAATAAAAAGCCACTTTTCGGAGCAAGTAGTTACTAAATTATTAATTTATACAATCATTTATGTTTGTAATGTAAGCATAACTATGTTGCAATTGCTCGCAAGAATCTATTAGATCAGAATTGTAGGCAGTAATCAAGTTATGATTTTTTTACAGGTTTTTTAAAATCTTTATTTTACATTGTTTTGCTATTTCTTCACACAGTTAATCTCATCAGTAAATAATGAAAGTTCATGATAAACAATAAACTTATTTGAAACTACAGTTTTACAACGATTCTATTATACTAAAGGCCACCAGCACCTAAAGTGTTAGAGTTCGAAGTATTAACGTCAATACTTGTAGTCGGTTGGTCTTGTTCTTTCAGTAAGTACATTAAATAATTAGTCAAAATAGTATCTTACCAATATACAAAGCAAAGTCGCTGAAACCGTTACAATCGCTAACTGTGAAAACTACTGAACCAATTTTGCTGAAATTTTGCATACTGATTCTTGATGATTCCGAGATGGTTTTTCACATAGTTTTTTTCTTGAAAAAGTTAATAACAATAGCGATAAATGAGCTTAAATTTTTGCTTAAATAAGCTAGTTTTGTGCTTTTGTTCAGTAGAATCCGCTAGGTGGCATCGAGTTAAATTAAAGCCACCCGCAATCAAAGATAGTGAAAAGCGGTTATAAGTTGCCCCATCGAGATGTCGATAATCGTAATCGTTCCTCGGTAGTGGATCAAGATCAGAGTAGTAAGTCGTGCAGCTGGGCATCCCGGCTACGATAACATTTTTTCCAGGGGCAAGCGAAACGAATCGGTTGTTGCCACTGATTACCAAGATCATCGAATGCCGCGGAAAAATAGTGGCTCAGAACGTCAACGTCTCCTAGGAAATACCAGAAGACGTGTCTATCTAGAGCCCAACCTGATCCTCCACTTTACAGTTTGGTGGCCATTCAACTATCTGGCCTGATGCCGTCAGAGAATTTTCTACTTTAAATGCAAGTCAGGAAAGATAGCCCTGAAGATTATGGATAGCCACAACAGCCTCCTTCTTAGTGGTCTTTCCAAGTCCCAACGGCATACCCATAGAGAAGGTAGTCTCCAGGCTCACTTTCCCCACTAACGATGAGTGGTTGATTATCCGGGGAACAACCCGAAGACGAGATATTCTTTGGTCAGCGGTGTACCTCCCTCTAGCATGGTCTGCGTATACAGAGACTCCAATATTAAGAGTCAAACTATTTGCAACTGGCTCTCCATTATCAGGAATAATAATAAGGAATAACTGGGAATTCCACCACTGGCCTTTTTCAGGGCTATTGAAAGTATTTATGTTCCCTACTTAACGATCAATCTCATCAGTTCTTTTAAGGGCTACCCAAGTCCAAACTACCTTGCAAACAAATACATCTTTACTACCATTTCCAAAAACAATTCGTTGATTAAAAGACTATGTAAAGACGACCACTATTAAACTAAATCAGTCATTCACTGGCAGACGTCACGAGCGGAATTGTTTGTCGCAAGGCTGGGAACTGCGGTGACCGACGACCCTACATAACTCTCTTGACTCTAAGCATTCAATCAGAAATCACCGATCGTCTCCGAAGTCTGCGCTGGGAGAACCTAACAGCTATGAAAGAAAAATAAACTTGAGCCAATAGGACAGTCTCCAATAGGCAAGTATCACAAATCAATCTCTCCACCTTAGATTACGAAAATAACTGAGCTCTGCAAAAACAGAAGGTGCGTCAGACACCAACGTCTTCGGCGTAACACCGGGAGACTTTGAAAAATATATCTACAACTAGCTCTTCCGCTTCAGACGTTGACGTTTTCCTTACGATCAGTCTGATGCTACAACAGCTGGTCAGAGAAGATCACCCTGAGAAATCCAGGCACTCACATTCGCTGGAGACTTCAGTCAAAAAAAAGTTTAGCTCACTGTTTTTTTTTTAAGGCGATCGGACGTTGAACTACCTTACTAACAAATACATTACAATCTAACAAAGTTGACAAAACACAGCCCTTAGAGCTCACAAAAGTCTTATCCATGCATATAGTAACAAAAGAGCGAATTGGAATGAAAACTGCAAACGCTTTAAACGATTAAAATTTTTAGCGTCAAGAAACTGACGCAGAACATTCATCGAGATTGAAGCAGCAGTATGAAAATCGACGAATAATATTAATTATACGGGAGAAACTGCAAATCAACGGCCCTTAGGGCCAACGATTATTTTATGGCATAAGAAACACACAGTACTTTTTAGCATAGTTATATTTTTTTTCACCTTTTACAGCTTATTATTTGATCAAATAAACTGTATGAATTCCGAACCAATATGTTTTTTAAAAGACGAAGATTTTTGTTCTTAGACATGTCAACACTACAGTGTTTCATTTAGTAAGTCTCGGGCAAAGCCGAGACGGGGGGGGGGCCGCTAGTCTATGAATATATTTATTATGGAAACAGTACTACCGACTTACTTACCTAACAAACAAAACATTTGACTGTTTAAAATAACGCTTGATTTTATAGGAAAAAGTAAGATTCGAAAAACAATATATATCCAATCACAAGAATTTTTTTTTAAGATGCAATCTGTACTAAAATAGGATGACATAATTAGCTTTTTGGCATCCTCAACTCTGAGTTTAGAGAATCAAAAATTTGCTTTTAGTAGATAATTACAGAACAAACTTCTTAAAATAAAATCAAACACATTTTGATTTTCAGTAATGGCCGAAAAAAAAATGGTAAAAATGTCAAAACCTGATTTTTTTGCGTTGGTTATTGTTAATTGTGTTAAAAGAACGAAGTTTTTATGCCTTAGAAAGTTTCAGCTTGTCTGTTTACTAACGACCACACATAAATGTAGTCAGATTTAATGTATACTTATTGCAAACCACAGCTTAATGCGAAAAAAAGCACTTTCGTAAAGTGGCTCTAAAAAAGTTGTGGTACAGTAACATGCTATTTTTTTGGACGGGACCATCTTTTTTAATAGATACTTAACAACTTACAAAGGCTTTTACTCCTTATCTTAAGTAAAATTTGTCAAGAAATGCTGAGAAACAACGGTATTCCGCACGATAGGCTGTGCTTTAGCAACTTTTACAATAGAGATAGGGTTAAAACTTTGGTTAGTTGTTAACTAACTATTGAATAAGATGATTCTATCAAAAAAATTTGTGTTGCTACTAAGTTTTATTTTTTGCTGTAAGCTGTGGTTTGTAAAGAGTATACATCTGATTTGGCTTAAATTGTGTGTGGTAGTAAGGGGACAAAAAGTTACTGCAAAAGTTATCGACATTTTTCCTTAATTCTATCACATAACAGCGTAACAGCAGTATCACAAACAAATTTTATCTTTTTTTATAAGAGGGCTGTAATGGCTCCTAAAAAAGGCGTAAATATGCTCAGGGACATACTGCTTAAAAACATATTAATTGTCTTAGGAAAAGACATGAGGAGAAAAAATTAAAATATTTGAAACCTCCGAAAATCTGTTAACTAATGATATATGCCATATAAAAAATATTTTGTAAATGTCATAAGCTTCCTATTAATAGGCTGCCTGTTTACCTTTGACTTTGTACGAAAAGCAAGTTTTTTAGTCTAAGCGTTTGTAGGTTTATATTTAAAAAAACCTTTATTAATCTACAACCAAGTCAATTGTATATCACAAAGGACATCTAAGAGTGATATATTTACAAATTCAATGTGATAGTGACTAATAAACAGAAAATATTTTGTGAGAGATTGCACTATTCAACAGGATATTTGATTATAATATTTATCCAATTGAGCATTAGTGTTTATTTGGATAAAATTCACAAGGGAAGCCTTAAAAAATACAAAATTAATGCTTTTACAGTATATGTAAATTCATCTTAAGAAAAGTTTAGTTTTACTGCATGCCCTATTTCTCAAATGACATACATGTTTGCATTTGAACTATAATATTTATTTCACTACTCAAAGTAACGATACATAAATATATAAAATAAAAAACATGCTGTCATTTAAAAAATAGGACACGATTTTATGATTTTACAACAAGACTGATTACCGCTAAGCTCCACAGTTGTTACTATTTTACCACTAAATAAAATATTGTTACTCATACGTTTATCATATCATCTGTATAAGTTGTTAAAATTATTTTACAAAATGATCTACATAAAAACAACAAAACAAAGATCAACATGCCTGTCTATTTGACTCGTAAGTGGTGTAAAAAAAGAAACAAGATGGAAATGAAAATTTTGCCTCGCTTTTGGAAGAGAGGGAAATGGATAAGCTGCCTTAGGATATTTATCACAGTAAGCACAAGGAAAACTAGAGAGTATGCACCTAAATGCACGCATTGAAGCCTGTTTTTTAATTTTATTGCAAAAATAACTTGTCAATCTCTCTATAAATGTAATATGATGTTAATTTTCTAGTGTTGCATCATGTTAAAAAATTGGATAAATTCCACGGAACAATCTCTTTTAAATTCTATTTTTATAATACTCAATATTATCGTCATACAAGTCTGTTTTTGGTTTTTTAACCAAGATGTAATTGTTTTA